GTAGGCAAACGACAAATTAAAAGAAGAAAGAAGAGCTGCATGCATGAAGAGATCTACAAGATATATCATGGGAAAAGAGAAAAAAAATAGCGAAATGATACATATGATGCGACCAGATTGATGCTTACAAACAAAACTATATTTATTTGTGTCTACACAGGCCAATGAACAATTTCTAAATAAGCATCAAGCTGCTAAAACTGGTTACTTCTGAGAACCCAGCAGGGAGGAGGTGCGTGGGGGAGGGGTGCTGGATGAAGGAAGACTTTGCATTTCCTGCTATGTACTACCATGTACTCTTTGAATGGAGTGTGGAGCATAATATATTCATAATTACCTATAACATTTTGTTTAAAATGCAACTGAGCTGGTTAAAAACACCACCACCACCACCACCAAAACAACATGACATAACCACACCAATCTGAACAAGGCTGGTGCCACACTCCCAGGTCTTTCCAAGAGTAACNAATGCAACTGAGCTGGTTAAAAACACCACCACCACCACCACCAAAACAACGTGACATAACCACACCAATGTGAACAAGGCTGGTGCCACACTCCCAGGTCTTTCCAAGAGTAACAAAGTTCAATTCCAATTTCCAAGCCACTGATGACAGACGGGATTGGGATGAACAGGGAAGAAAGGAGATGTGGGGTGTGAGGAAAACTTTTGGAAAAGCTCTGTGGAAGCTGCAAGCCTGACCCACCCTGAACCTGCACAGGTCCAAAACTCACTATCCTGAGACTTTCTGCCTCTCATCCCCATAGAATGGGGGCGGGAGGAAGCAATAGCCCTGATTAAGAGAGAATTTCCTTTCCCACGGCAGAGGGAAAGCCACCCGCTGTCACCAGCAGAGTTGCTCCCAGCAAAGTCCAGGAAAAGCCCTGGCCACACTCCACCTTCCTGACAACAGCGTGTGTGCCAGGCTCCTCAGATAGAGGGGACAGCCAAGACTGGCAGCCCCGAAGCCCACTCATTTGAGTCCCCTCCACTTCGGCAGACAGCCCAGGCATCTTTTCACACTCACTACTGAAATCCAAACTGATCAAATCAGACGGCTCTGCCAACAAAACAGCAACAATGTGGAAAAAGGAGACACAAATCAATGGTATCCTGGCAAAATATATATCTATTCTTTCTGCTTGCCAGCAGAAGCACTTCTGTGGACTCAAATATTTAATTAGTATCTTTTTTGTTTCCCAGTAATAATTAAAACAAACACATACCCCCAAACACACAAACACACACACACACACACACAGCGCTAAACATGAAGCAAAAAGGAAGAACAAAAAACCAAGGGGCTTTCCTTAAGACATAATGTTAAGAGGCGGGCATGACAGCTAACATCCCCAGGCAAAAATGCTCCTCCCGTTAAAACAGGTACCCTTGTTAGCACCAGACAAACTCACTGGGCACTCTACAGTCTGCAGCGAGGGAGCTGCCCAGAGGTGCCCTTAGCACAAGGAAAACAGGTCTTGGGAGGGAACAGGGGACCATCAAGCAGAAAGCGGGGAAGCTGAGCCTTCTGCAGTGACTCACCACAGGGATGGCTCATGACTGCGATGCCGGGAAGCAGACAATCCAATAAAGGTAACCCTCCTCGCACTGAGGATGCAGCCGAAATAAAGCCGAAACCTGACCAACTGGCCCAGGCTAAGCAAGAACAAACTATCTGAAGGGCATGGGTATTATGCCCCTAGGAAAACAGAAGCCCAAGCAAATTTGTTACAAAGGGCATGAGACCAGCATATCACTGACATGGCCACCGTATATCCCGAAGGGGACGTGCGAACATTAGCCACTAGGACCAATCAACTCCCCTGCTCTGAATCCAGTTTACCCAAGTGTGGCCTGGCTCCCCACTAAGACTGTACCCTTCAGAGAGGATGGTCCCACCTCCTCCTCAAAGGGCTGGCCACCACTGTGAACTCATCCGACACTCCTCCCCTTTCCCAGCCAGCCATGCATGCTTGGTGACTACGAGTCAACCCTGCCTAGAGGCAGATCAACTCTTGGGGTACAGGCAAAACTGAAGATTAAACCCCGTGATGGATACACTGGGTCTACCAGGGAACAGTGGCATATAGACTATACCCGAGGGAAGTTTCCTTTTTGGGGGGCTTTTTTTCCTTCAATGCTTTTTGCTTTGTTCGAATGCTCAAACCAGCATTTCCTAAGTGGGGTCTGCGGAACCTGAATTCCATCCTCTGAGACGTGTTCCTAGAGAGTAAGAAATGATAAGGCCAGGGGTGGACAAAGAGAGGGGAAGGCACCTTCAGGCTTTACTCAAGCATCTTCTCTACCTGCCAGAAGAAACCAAAGGGGGTGACTTTGGAGGTGTCTACACAGTTGGCATCTGCAATACAAGGAGTGGGGGACACTAAGCACTATCCATCCTTTCTGAAACATCCCCCTTTCTCCATCACCACTGTCACTGTCTTAATGTCTTAAGTTCAAGGCCTCATCATCTCTCATGCCAATTACTCTAATGGGCTCATTTCTCCACTGCTAATTTCACAGTCAGCACAGCCCACGGAGCCAACCTTTCTAAAATACAGACCCGATGCTCTTCCCTTCATGAAAACCCCCAACCTACAGGACAGAGTCCAACCCTGGCAGGGCGTGCAAGGCCTCAGCCCTCACGGGTTATGGAGTCACACCGATCTCAGCTGACCCTCAGACTAACCACTTGCTGGGTACGTGGACCCATTTCCTCCTCCGTGCACTGGAAACAACACGATCGACCTCCAGAGGCGCCACGGGGATTAAACCCAAGTTGTAGAGAGCCTAGCTCTCCAAGGGCAATTACCACCCTACCATCCCCAACCTGGCTCTGGGCCTGTGCTCTTCATCTAACCTCGCTGCACTGCTGCTTCCTAATGAATATGAATTAATTCAAGAGAAAAGGAGGCACATTGGAGAACCTCAAAACTAAGGGTCATAAACATAAAAATTAGGCTTCCAAAGTGTGAAAGAAACCAAAATCAACTCATTATCAAAATAATGCAAGAGGAGAGTGGGAAGGGGAGGTGAAGGGAAACATTATTTTGGGAGGAAATGCTTTTAAAATACATATATAGCTCTATGATTTTGGTTTGGGCTTCCTTTGTTCCAAAGGTTTAGGAAGATTACATTTCAGAAGCTCACAAAGAACACATTTCCATTTCTTTAAACTACTTCTTAATTAATATTTTCAGAGAACTAAGAAGTACTTTTACAGATGGACTGAACCTTAATAAAATTCTCAGAGAAGTTCTGGCGTCAGTCGTAAGAAACACTTCCTTGGAATTTAATTTCCTTTTCAGCATACAACTTACTATGGAAACTCATTTGTGATGCCACCACGACCAGTCAAAATCTGCCTGGAACACAAAAACTTCAAAGCGCCACACGAGAGCCTTATAGGACTAGATGGAACTTGGCCCACCCAATATTTCGCCAAATCTTACATCTATCAGATTTCTCCCAAGCCAAACTTTCCAGCTTCTACTGTCAGGTTCAACTCTTCCATCTCCTTCCCAGCCCATGTCTGCCCTGCGCCCCCGCCCCCAACCTTACCCTACAGCTCTTCCAATGCCTCCTTCCAGCTAGAAAGCCCCCCAATTCAGTATCATTTTCTTGTCCATAAAATGAAAAGAAAAAAAGGAGAGAAGGGCACAAAATGAGCAAAGGGAAACTAGCTACACCCATCTTCACATTCCTATCAAAGGCCTTAAGCCAGCATGAAAAAGATGACAGACGCGTGGCTTCTGGTTTTGTTCCACTCCCTCCTTTGTTTAGATGATGACAGGGCCTGCAATATTTACTCTATGTGCTTGGGGGTTGGAATGGGAAGGCAAAAGCGGGAAGAATTATTCATCAGCACAAAAGTGTACTTTAAAAGCCTTTATCCCTTGAGGACAATTCCTACTGCAAGACTTAATCAATGCCATTATCCCGAGTGCCTGTGGCAAAGGGAGAGAAAGGGGTGGACGCCAACCTTCACTGAGCAGCCCACTGCGATGCACAGGTGTATCTCATTTAACAGAAGGCAGACAATACCCTGACTTCAATTATGCAGAAACCGGGCTCCGAGGGGTCAGGAGATGGAATCAGGATGTATACCCAGGCCCACCAGACACCAAGACCCATGGGCTCCTAAGCTTCCAGTGTCCCCAAGTCCTATGTTAAAACACTATCCTGGGCTGGAGGGCACTTTACCGTTTACCTGTTGTTTTCCATATATATCACCTCATATAATATCACAACCCTGCAGGATAGCTAAGAATTCCTTTTCCACTATTATAAACAGCTGTTTGGTTTCGAAGATCAACAGTAACTTGTGCGAGCCAGCTGTAACATAGTTGTGCCCTGTCTGAACTCTGTTTTCTCACACTGCCTGATAAATGGTAGGGACTCAAATGGTAACTATTATTAGCATCATGACTTTTATTAATTTAATAGCTCTTAGTTAAAGCAAAATTTAAATACACACACACACTACAGATATTTTATAGATTCAACCTAATTAGTAAAGCCTTTACTTGTTGGAGAAAATGTAATTTTACCACTACCTCAAACTCAGAGAGAACCACTAACTGTGGCTTCCAAGAAACTGACAAAAAAGGATTACTGAGAATGATGTGGTCAAATCCAATATGGATTTTGAAAGCTACTAATGGAAGAAAACAGGACAGGAGCATTCAGTTGTAAAACACAAAAAATCCCCCTCTCCTTCCAGCATCATGGCTTGATCATGTGCCGTTTGACCTGGCCGTGTCATTTCAACTCAGTGATGACACTTAGTATCCAAATCTGGATGGCCAGCAGGTGACCCGGAAGTTCTAGTGAGAGGCTGCCCAGAAGGTCTGGGAATAGGGGTGGGGTGGACAGTTATTCCCTTAAGGTATCTTTAATGTCCTGCATCTAATGCACTGTGTGCCTATTAGTTACACTCACTGTAAATGAAACCTGGGAGGTTCAGAAATGTCATAGGCAACAGGAATCAGCTCACCACTTCTTAAGCCAGAACGAAAAAGATGACAGAACTGTGGTGGTACTAGGGTCCCAGCATCAGCCAGACAGAAGGAAATCTATAGTACTGTGGAATGAGAGATCCTAGGGATGTTCTTCAAGTAAGGCTGCACCACACCAGTCCAACTGAGCATCCACTCCAGGCTTGAGGGTTAAAACACACAAACAAGAAACAATTCAGATCCACAAGTGAAATATACACAATAATTTTTCAGCAAACAATTTCACAGTAAAGACAGCTGGACGGCTTTATGCATTAATTGCCTGCATGAGAACAGTATTCATACTGTAGGTCTAGTTCCGATTATTAGTTTTTAGTTTTGTCTTGCTTTTAGCAATCATTCGTGTGTTTTTAATGTTTTTACTGATTTTAGAGAGAGACAGGGATGAAGGGAGAGGGAGAGATAGAAACATCGATGAGAGAAAAACATCACTGATTAGCTGCCTCCTGCACGCCCCCTGCTGGGGATTGAGCTGGAAACCCAGGCATGTGCCCTGACCAGGAATTGAACCCGTGACCTCTTGGTGCATAGGTCCACACTCAACCCTGAGCCACAGGGGCAGGGCTTTGCAATCATTCTTGCTTCCCACCTGTCTTAAGTCCGTCCTAATTTCATTATATAAGAACAGGCTGAGGTTGATTTTGCGTGGCTAATCTAGTCTCACAAGGAAAAAGATGTCTCCCTCAGAAACCTACTCCTGCCACCATCAGATTGTATAGCTCTCTAGTTATACTTCATTTCACAGTTACGGAAACTAAGGTCCAGAGAGGTGAGTGGCTCATTCAAGGTCATATTCCCTCCTAATATATCTAGGACTAGAAATAGAGCTCAAAAGGCCCACACTGTGGGTCTCCAGCTCTATCACTGTTGCAAATGACCTGGCATACTTGTGTCTTGAATACAAAGTTTATCTGAGGAAGAAAAAAACTGAGCCTCTATGAGTCATCTCCATTGTCCAGGGGAACCACACAGGTTGTTCTGATGAAGCATGCAGCATCTTCAGAACCACTTGTTTCTAAAATAACCAACCTCAGCCAAAGAATAAAAGGCTATGTTTTATACCCCCTTCAGGATACTCAGGGCTAGGTTTTGGGGACCGGCTAGCCCAGCCCTGGGAATCAGACCTTGGCGGTGCTGGAGAGGGAATGGGGTGGGAGGTGGTCAGTTGTGTTTTCAGACAGCTCCCGGCTCCAGTGACGATTTCATGGAGCCCACTCCTACTCACCCTGGTACCCCCGAATATCTCATTCACTCAGGGGTCCCTCCTCAACTTCCCCAGGACGAAAGCACTGCAGTCGGGAGGTGACCGAGGCAGATGGGGAGGGGCGGTGCTCGGCCGGAGCCGCGGAGGAAGCGATGCTTAGCTCCCTCCCCCACCCGTCACGGGAACTCCCCGCCGGGTGCTCAGGCGCCAGAGGCGTCCCTAACTCTGAGCCTGACCTCCCTGGGTGCGCCCCAAAACAGGCAAGGAGGCAAAGCCCACTGCCCAGCGCGCCCCAGCGCTCCGCCCCCCGCGGCCGGCTAGTCCCCCGTCCTCAGGGCTCACACCCCGCGGGGCCTCCCCCTCCCCCCTCCCC